AACCCACATGACAACTTGTGCAATATGCCATCTTGTCTCAGATAAAAAATATAAAAAAACTTGCCCAGATTCTTTGATTCCTCGTAGAACATAAGGTCGGCATAAAGTTTAAAGATACTTTTGTTGAATAATTGTGCAGGGAACAGTATTAAGACGGACTAAGGCAGGTGCTAAATCAAATTGGGTTCAAAAAAAGCATTAACAAATTGAAAGCGGCAAAAATTCAACGAAATTTTTGTCGAGTTAAATACATCAAAAAATTGATTGCTGATTTGGTAACCTCCCCTAGCATAGTTATTAGTGCACAATAATCTTAATCAAGAAGTCAAGAGTTCAAAACTGAAGTCAAAACATTTTAGTATGAAACCGATGAAATGGAAAACTGCAGGTACTGCTGCGCTGCTAAAACTCCTAAAATCCCTCAGCCCGCTAAAACTGGGCGAGTTGAGGGAGAAAGCAAAATTATTGCAGTATTAGCAAAAGTATTAGCACTTATCACCTCTCAAAAAATAGCCTTTGTATAGATTTTTTGAAATAACTTCACGTAATATCACTCATAGTTTTTATGTTGGTTGTTTAGGAACAAAATAGTAAGCCAATGACGCAAAATTAAAGAATAGCCTTAAATTATGTTTGATTACAGTATTTGCTATCTAAAAACGAGTCCAGTCTGCCTTAGAATTTAGAACTGATATTCAGTTCGTACATCAAATAATCAAGTAAAAGTGTTAAGTGTGGGACAAAATGGTATAGAACAAAGTGACATGTGGGGGGGGGGGGGGGGGGGCAAGTTAGCACAGGGCCAATTAGCTTAGGACAGATAGTCCCGAAACCATTTTCATACTATTCGATCATTGAAAAATCATTAAGTATTCAGTAGATAGTTTGTATAAAATGTGTAAATCACCTGTCTGAAAACTGTATATAAGTTTTATCTGAAAAGTTTTGTATGAACCGTTGTTTATATTAGGTACTAAAACACACAACAAAATTTTTTTTTGGTAAGTATAGAGTTATTAATTAACTCAAGAATAAAAAATAATCGATTATAATCGATTTGAAAAATTACGAAAAATTACACCGTTTGGTGTTTAAAAAAGTTACCTTAAAAAAGTACAAGAGTAAAAATTTTGTTGCGATAATTGATTACAATCTTAGTTTTGCCAATGCGGTTTAATTAACTTGCGTTCCTTTCATGCTTCTATTTGTAAGTAATTCATGCTTTTTTTGTTTCTATTCAGCAAATCAGTAGATGGAAACATTGTTATTAAAGATTATAATAATGAACTTTTGTTGATGCGAGTATAAATAGTTCTTAAATGCACCTGTTAATTTTTGTTATGGTATAACCTAAATAATGCAACTTCCGTAAAAATTTGGCTGAGACAAACTGTCTTTTTCAGCCTCTTTTACAGCTGAGCAGATTGAAAAACACGTGAAAACAAATAGCATCTTGCGGAAAGCTGCTGTTTGGCCAATGCAATGATAATAAAAATGTCGGATCAACCGGAAAAACGCCCTCCTAATGGCCGCCTACCGTATAATCTCCACCCTAGTTATGTAATATTTATGGAATTTGATTACCAACAGAATACGCATTTTATTACCAGCAGGCGGAATAGCTAATTCTTACGCAATATATTATTCATGTATTAAATATATATTAAAATAATTAGATCAAATTGTGTTTCAGCCCCCTTTGTTTTTTTTATCCCCCCCCCCCCTTAAAATGATTTCAGGGTGCAGTTGCACTGTTGACAAGAAAAATTTCACAGTAGTTTTGTTTAATCTTATCTATGGCAGAGCATCTAAAAACAGAAAGCTTCTAAAATCTGATAATTTTTCACGCATTAAGCTGCAGGAAAATTTAAGGTTAAAACTTTCTGCCTACCAGGGTTGACCATATATTGTTATCTTAAAACTTTTCTTATAAAAATCTCCCAATTTTTAAGAAAATTTGGCTTCAAGATTGTAACAAAGTGAAGGACGTATACTGATAAGAAAGTTGGGATCTCTTTAACTATATCCCCCTTTTGCAAAAGGGGATTATTCGTTACTAGGAATACAATTCTGTTATGCTTAATTGTTGATTGTTTTCTTCATAGGGGGATATTTTTTTCTAGGTACCCGAGGGATCCGAAAGATCGGAAATTTTGCTTCAAAATGGTTCTACTTTCTTCTATTTTTTTTCTATTAAAGTTTCCTGCTTCAAGACCTGGAAGTTAGATTCTTCTGAAATGAATGCCTCACAATTTTACAAGGAGTGGCGACCTCTTTACATTACTATCACAAGTTATTTGTCCATTGACTCAATTTTAATTATAAACTGAGGATTTTCAAATTCACTTGAGCAAATAAATTGGTTCCCATTATGCAAATCTATTAGTTAATTTTTAATTTAGAACAATATATGTTTCCAAGTTTAATGCAAATTTTCTTGTGCCAAGCAGGCTGTTGCGACTATCATTCAACACCTACGAAGTAGTGTTCGATTTCAGAAAAAAATGATCCAAAAAAAATTTCGAAAAATTATGCTACACGCTACTTTAGGTAGAAATTGATAAATTTAGCATTTAATAACAAATTAGCAGATGGCATGCCTAACGAACGAGCAAATTGCGAGCCTAAATCCAATTATGGACAATTTTGAAGCCGACTTAAATCAGTTAGTAGCAGCAAGATAATTTGGGTGTCAGATTTTGATACATGTGTTTTTGTTACATGTGTTTTCGGAGAAAGTGACGGAATACTTGTGAACGAGTTGTGATTTTTTTCTGTTGTCAGATTTCCATTTTTAGCTGGCCAGTTTTGACAAAAAAGAAGTTTTTTTATCATCCAAAGATACTGTTGCTTAAATTTAAAAAGATATTTCACCTGTGATCAATTTTCGCGAAGTTATGGGGAGGTTAAAAATTGCCAATTTGATCAATTCGGATCAAAGAAAGATGATACATTTCGAGCTAATAAAGCAAACGCAAAGATTTAATCCGGTTTAGAAAAAGACAAAGATCTGTATAATTTAACTGCTGCTCAAAGCAATTTGAAAAAGTTTTGGTTCTTGAGAGACAAAAATAATCGAAAAAAAAGTTTTGTTGTATCTCTGTTCTTCTTTTTATCCCCTCACTCACTTTGTAAAAAACAAAGGGTATAATTGGCGTTGTTTTGAGAAGATTATATTGGTGGTCGCAATTCAGCTAGGAGCGCATGTTACAAAAGTGCAATATTTTGCACGTTAATTAGCTCCCCGAGTCGAGATTTTTCACCTAATTTGAAGCAAGATTTGAGCGGTTTGAGCAATGTTTTTAGACAATTACGCTCAAAAACTTGCTTCAAAATGAGCGGTTTGAGCGGTTTTTGAACGGTTTATCTAAAAAAAAACGCTCAAAAACCGCTCAAGATTTCAACGGTTTTGAGCGGTTTTTTTTGTAAAAAAAACCGCTCAAATCTTGCGCGTTTTCTGAGCGTTTTTTTTTTAGATAAACCGCTGAAAAACGTTCAAATCTTGCGCGGTTTTTGAGCGGTTTTTTTAGATTTGAATCATTTTGAAGCAAGATTTCGAGCGTAATTGTCTAAAAAAATTGCTCAAACCGCTCAAATCTTCATATATGGAAATTGTATTTTATTATTATCTTCAAACCATTTTATTATCTTCAAACTAAATTTTCGTTTTTGATGAGCAATATGACTTAAATTGAGCAAAAGTACTCTTAAATAATTTTTATTTGTTTATAAACAAGTTTTAACAAGTTTTTGAAAATCTTGCCTTTCATGAAAAAATGGTTTTCATACAATTTTCATATATGGAAATTGTAGGATAACCATTTTTTTCCAAAAAAATAAACGTAGTTATTTTTCATTACCAGACTGTTCTATTTGGTTCAAGTAGCCGGAGAAACTGTATTGAATCTTTTTTCAATGTTTTTTTTGAAATTGTATGAAAATTGTATAATTAGCATTTTTCCATACATTTGATGTAGAAAATTGTAAGATAAGCATTTTCGGTTTATGGAGGTCAACCCGGGTAGTATTTCAACTGCATCTTAGCGTCACATTACCTTTCCAGGCCTTTTTGTTGGTTTTAATCGGTTTTTTTATGAGACCGCTCAAAAACCGCTCAAATCTTGCTTGAAAAACCGTTCAAAAATCATCGCAAGAAATGAGCGGTTTTTGTGCGGTTTTTTAAGCAAGTTTTGAGCGGTTTGAGCGGTTTTTCCAAAAACAAAACTGCCCAAACCGCCCAAACCGCTCAAACCGCTCAAGTCTTGCTGGAAAACCGCTCAAACCGCCCATATCTTGAGCGGTTTTTGAGCGTTATCTCGACCCGGGTCAGTTCGAGCAAATTATTTATTTTCTGACCGCTTTAACTTTAGATGGTGAAATAGATGGTGGATTAACTTTAGATGGTGGCTTAACAGGTGAAATATCTTTTTGAATTTGAATTTCAGACAACAATACCTTCCAGATGATTAAAGAAAAATTGGTCAAAACCCATTAGTTAAAGAGTCGAAATTGGACTGAATAAGAAACCACCCCAGCATATATTCCACACTTTCTTCGAAAGTCAAAACGAAAAGTGTTTTTGAGCTTGTTCGGAAAAAAAATTTGAGCTCGCTTGCTATTATATCTGACATTAATTTTTTGTAGTAGATTGTTGAGACTTGCCAAAGTCAACCAGATTGCAGCAAGATTACGCAAAACGAACCAAAATGATCCAGAATGTCCAAAGTTTCTCAAAAATTTTCTCAAAATCACTTACCATATCTATGATCATTTGAATATTCCGAGATCACTTAGAAAGCTCAAAATCATCGAATTGCCCAAAATGCTTTGATGCATTTAAAATAATTTGAATCAGAGATAATCATCCATGATTTAGCGGTATATCGTCAATCAGTTCTGCAAACGTATGAAACGGTTAAAGTGACCAACCATGATCAGAACCTCCTGAATCACCGATGGTTATCTATGCCAATTCAACCCGGGATGTCTGATTAACTTACTGGGAGAAGTCAAAAGTTCGTTGGGGGTTGTCGGTGACTTCGTTCTCCTCCCCAACAACAGAAATGTTGAAGTGTTCGCCTGTTCCGGAGACAGTCATAGTAACCACATCAATCTGCTCACTATTTACACCAAATGTTGCCGTGAAGTTATCCGTGTACATTGATACATTGAGCCAAATCGCATCTCCTGTTAGCAACAGCCAGCCAAAAATCTTATAATTTATTAGTTTTTTCTAGTGGAGACAGTTTATCCTTGTGTTTTATTCGCACAAAATTGTCTCTCACTTCAATCCCTTTCCCTTCAAGGATTCCAACTTTCGTCAAAAACTTTCAAATATGCCCAAAAATGGCCTTTCTATGATGGCGTTTTTAAACCACAAAGCTAGCTGTGGTGCATAATTTTTTTCCTAATAGGGCCTTTAATATATTTTTTTAAACTACTCGGGAAACGACCAAAAAGATCAATTTTTATTTGATCGACCAAAAAAAATCTGTAAAAAATTGTTGTGAAAAAGCGCCCTTTTTGCGAAAAAGCCGGAGCCTAAGCAAAAAAATTAAGGGTGGTCGTCAGGGGCGCATCTAGGAATTACTCGAGGGGGGAGGGCTCTTTTCAAAAAAAAGTTAAAACTTTCGGTCAACGTTTTCTTTTAGGTCGAGTTCATTTTTAGGCACTTTTTGGAAAGCTTGCATTTTTTTGGCGCGCCTCCCCCCTTAAAGTTTAGGACAGAAGAGCGCGCCTTTAAAAATATTTTAGGGTCAGTCAGCCAAAAACTAATATCTCAAAAAAGTACAAAGGGGGGACCCTTTGGGTTTTCAGGGGTCGAGTCCCTGAGGGGGGAGGGCCTCCCCCCTAAATCCTTAAATCCTCTGGTGGTGGTCGGCAAAACGTATTGTCTCAATTAGAACCAAAAAGATAGGTCTTTGGGTGGAGAGAGAGGGGTTCGAACTCCTAAGCAAGGATGACAAAACACACACTCGTAGCTACCGCGCGTTATGTTTTTTTGTCTGCGGTATTCTGTGTCTAATGAGAGTATGTCTATCTCTTTCTCTTTAGCCCCATCCCCCTATTGCAAATGATTAAAGACGGTTAAATAGGGACCCCAAAAAATCCGCCTATACTTAACCATTGATTCAGTTTTTTAGGGGTGGTTATTCTGTGCAACGTAGCACAATTGGAGAAAGGGGGATGGTTGGGTATACCATAATATACTTGGGGGGAGGGGGTTGGTTGGGCACCATAATATAAGTGGGGGTTAAAAAGATCTTCAAATTTTGACGATATTTGCCTGGTATGTCGTAGGGACTGTAGGGTGTGAGTTGCAGATGGTGCACGTCTCCGGGAGTGAAGTCGGGAATGTGCATTACTTGCTTTTGAATGGTGAATGGAATGACCACATCAGGTAACTTCCCATCTAACTCAGTAATCTTCACCTCCTACAGACAAAATAAAGGATACAGAAAGCGTTCCATAACCTAAACAGAACCGCTCGTACTTTAGGGCGAAATTTAGCTGGCTGTAAACCGGTTTCAGTAAAAAAAAAATTTGTCTTTATCTGGAGGTTGAAGTGTAATCTAAATAATTGTAATTCCTAATTGTAATTTGGGGTCGGTAGAAAGTTTGAAGAGCAAAACTAAAGCGCATCAGATCGTTAAAACTATGAGAATCAATTGCAATAATGGAAGACACAGGGACAAAGATCAAAGATTCAAAGATCAAATTGTTCGTCAATTTTTCGGTTTTCAATCCAACACTTTTTCTGCGTTCTCGCCAAATGATGAAAATACCCCAACTCAATAAACCCCTCCCCGCTTCATTATTAAGATTAAGTTAAACTTCAAACTAATACTTTTGTGTATCCAAAGGCGAAAGAGCACTCGACGTCTACTGAGAAGTCCACCCGGTTGACCACTGGTTCGGAAACGATAGATATTGTGGGGGGTTTTGTGAAGCCCTCGAGAGTGAAATTTTTCACTAGGGGGATTAGCCCTTTGCTGTATGCTCGCACAGTTATGTTGTATTTCTCCCCTGGCATCAGGTCAGTGAACACAGTTTGGACAGTTGAAGAGCTGAAAACAAACTCGTCTATTTTGTCTCATTTTTTTTCCATTTTTTGGGCGTTGAGAAGAAGCGAGGTATTGGGTCTTTTCGATTATATAAACCCACCCCCCCCCCCCCCCCCAATAATAAAAAGTCGATGTCCAAAATTGGTATCAAATTTGGATCAATTTTACTAAGAAATGCTGGCTTAGATTAGCCAATCAACATGAGGCAGGCTGAAACGAATCAATTCCATCCAATTTAGCCTCATACATGCCCTTTTCCCTGTTTTTTTAACCGTACAGGTCTTTTTCTGAAATTCATTATATGGAAATATATTTCAAATGATTTTTAATGTTATGAACTGCATCAAAACGTGTCAGCGCGAATAGGTGAACAAATTATTACAACATTTCTTTCATGAAAACTGCCGTGTGAAAAAATTTTGAACAGCTTATTTTTGTAATTTTACTAGGGGGATGGGAAACTGGAAATGAGCTCTAATGTGTTTGAAAAGTCGTTTTTTTGCAGTTTCTAAGTTTTTATAAATCTTTGGATAGAACTTTGTGTGTCGTAGTAATATCGATTCAAATTTGTATAAAAAAGTCGTTCCATTTTTAAAAATATTTAAGGGGGAAACCTAAGCAAAAAGACACAAAGTATCTTACGAAAAATGAGATTGGAGCTATCTGTCACAATACATGGCAGCCGACCTCAATCATCGATGCCTTTTTTAGATTAATAATCCAATATAGTTTATATAACAAGGATAGTCGGTTACAGTGCAAGTAGCAAAGAATGTTCCGACAGTAATCTTAAAAAAATACAAAACTTTTTTTTTTAAATTGTCGTTTTTTTGGTGTGTTATGACAAAAAGGAGTTGAAAAAAACTGAAAATTAGGTATATTTGTTAGTCGTACTGAAAAAGCAAATTTGATAGAACAGTTTTTGTAGAAAAATTACTAGAAAAAATATTTGAAATGTTTTTTTTTTGCAGTTTTTTGGAATTTTAAATTTTTTGATTCCAAAAAGGCGCTCAAATACTCAAAGTTAACTCACCTTATTCAAGTAAAACTAAATTCCTTCATTTTAATTTAAGCTATGTTTAGCTCTTAAGCAATTAAAATAAGACTGCTTGCTCGCTGTGTTCGCTCAAAATAAGACGAAAAAATTTCAAACCGATTTTTCTCGACACTTGCAAAACGTTCATGAAACTTTTTAATGTGCTCCGAATCACGACTGTAGAGGCTTGTTCGTGGAAAACAAAAAAGAACTAAAACATACCAGAATACAACCCTCCCCCAGGGTTGGTCCTGTACTGAGTAGAAAAAAAAACAGAATACAAAGTTCCTCCTCATTTTCATTGGTCGGATTAGAAATCTAGAGAAAAAAGCTGAAGCTTTTTTTAAAGCGACAAAATGAAATTTTGAATATATCCGCAGACCAATGTCCAAACTTAAATAAAATAAGAATAACCGGTTACTGTGCAAGTGGCGCAGAAAGTTCCGATCATAGTCTTACAAAAAACCAACAAAGTTTTTCGAAATTTTGTCGTTTTTTCGGATAAAAGAACATGAGCTGAAGAAAAAAGTAGAGCTAAGGTATAATTGACAGTCATAGTAGAATAAACAAAATGATGAACAGGTTTTTAGAAAAAGTTACCTGAAAAATGAAAAAAAAAATCTTTTTTCAAGTTTTGTAGTTTTTTGAATTTTTGAAACTGGTGATTCCAAATAGGCGCTAGAAAACTCAAAGGAAACTATGTTACTCAATTTAAACTAAATTTTTACTATATAATTTTAGCAACTGTAAGCTTTTAAGCAGATAAAATAAGAGTGCTCGCACGCTTTAACCGCTCGAAAAATGACAAAAAATCAAGAAATTCAAACCGTTTTTTTTTCGACGCGGTCAGGGCTTTAATCACAACTGTCAGGGCTTTAATATGATCTATCACTCAACGCAGTTCGATGATTAATTGTGGCATATGATTTTGCGTGGAAAACAAAAAGAAAAAAAATTCAAAACACGGATTTTCGATGGTCGGAACAATAATAAAGATTACTTTCATCGAAAAATAAAATAAATAGTTTTTGGACAATTTATCTGCTTCCATTCAGTTTAGAAGGAGTTGTTGCTGTATAATTTCTCTGCCCTTAACTGGTCTCAATGCATTAACATTTTTCGGATCATAACAAAAAAATTGGCAAAAATTGAAAAATGCCGGCAAAAAAACACCGCGTACAAACATTCGCTGCCACTTTCTTCGAAGTTTCAACAAAATTAAATGCACAATTCGAATAGTCAGATTTCAGGTGGTTTGAAATTTAAAACTAACGTGTATGCTTTTTCTTCGCTGTAAGTTTTTCCAGAGTTTTCACCGATGTACGAAAAGACAAGTTTGCTTCCAGTTCCCGGCTCAAATGAGGTTGAGCACGTGATCTGAGTTTGTTGCCACTCGCTGCTCGCTTCAAAAACAGCACCCTGGTTGGCAGTATAAGTGGGTTGGTTGACCTCTAAGGCATCGCCAAAAACGCCTCCGGATTCGCTTTGGAAGTAGAAAGTGTAGTCTTCTCCAGCTGTTAAGCCGTAGAAACCGTGATAGTAATTTCTTTCCGGCGTTTCCTCGCATTTGGAGTCAAACCCACAGCTCTCTCCAACCGGCACAGACCAGAAAAGGAAGTTCTTCAAACACAAAAGTTTTAAGCCGATCAGGATGACTAAATTAAATTTCTAGCGGCTTTGTTTCCATTTTTCCCATCAATTCAAGTTTTCCTCTGAATCGTTTTAACAATCTTCCCAGCTCCCCAGTCAGACCAAGTTAGGATTTTCCACCCCAACTTTTTTTCATACTAAACTTGCTAGAAGCTGCTTCTAAACAGCTGTTTAGATGCAGCTTCTAGCTAATTTAGTCTTAAAAAGTTACCTCATCGATTCTGATTGGCTAAAAAACTCCGACTTGGAACCAAGTTAACATCCCCCAAACATCTTTAAGGATGTTAACTTGCTCCTGCCCTAAGTTTTTTGTAGATGGCTTACTTATTAATTATGACTGAATGCGTTATGTTCCGACAAAATTTGTAGCTATAACGAGTACGTACAAAAACTTCCAGTAGCTAAGCAATTATCACATAAAACGCCAGTTAGGAGACCAGTTTAGATATGCTTTCTTTGCCTTTTTTTCCATTGTTTCTAAAGTTAAATCAGAACAAGGGTACTTGCTTCAATTTAATGGTTTTCATATAAATGAGTATTTATTCTTATCTTTTTATAATTTATTTTTTAATTTTGATCCGGGTGGTTCCCGTTGCCGTCCAGCCGGTTGTATACTCCGAGAAAGAGCTCAAATTAGCATACATTCTAAATTACTTCTGGCGTCTAACACTTATGTTAACGGCCAGAAATAGCAAATAGATTAAGTTAAAAGAGGGCCTAGAGCTAGGTCATTGTGATTACGTTCTCATTTAAAGTACGTCTATATTATATTTTTCTAGAATGTAAGCAGTCTACGGACTGTACGACGTTGATTTATACTGCGTAAAGGTCGAATTACACTTCATAACTGGTCACACCCAACGGATCAAACACACACCCCCCCCCACCCCACAACATTCCACAGTTTCCACAAAATTCCACAACTTTCCACAACAAGCTCAGGAGACACAGAACAGCCTCACCAAACGCTCCCCCAAAACGCCAGTGCTATCAGAAAAACTGCAGACTAAACTTAGGTATAGAAAAGATTTAGACTGGTTCAAAATGAAGAGTAGTCATATGGTCATACAAAAATCTTCAAGCAGACACGAAAGCAAACAATCCTAAATAACTATTTAAAGCTGGGACAGTAAAGGCAACACTAGTTTGAACAGAGAAAACGAAACAACGTCCTACAAATGATATCGACCAGACACATCAGGAAAGAACTGGAAGAACTCTTTGTAGTATAATAGTTTTGGCCTTCGAAAAATCCGATTTTGTCTGCCGAGTCCTGGAGAAGGAGGAACGACCTGAACAAAAATATGTTCACAGCACACCGGCTTAACGAGTAAACTTCAAAAGCACAATTGGCAGAATTGGGACACCAAAAATCCAAAACAAGTCTTCGAAAAATGGTAATAAAAAACAATAAAAAAACAATCAAGACCACGTCAGCTTATCAGCTAACTCAATCCAAGTTAAACGATAACATATTGGTTAGGTGGACAATAGACGCAAAAGAAGAGCTTTCCATAAACAGAATATGAGGCACTATGAAACATGAAACAACAAGGACCAATCAAACAACAGTGCCAAAGACAGATTAACACTTGTTCCAAATGGGGAAACCCCTCAAATCAGGGCCACCATCACGAAATCCCCGCGAAAGACAGATGTTGCGCAAAAAGCGCAAAAAGAAGACAATTCTACAAAGTTTGGTTAACCAGCGTAAATCATTTGATTGAAATCAGCGCTGAAGCAGAAGAAACATAAAATGACCAGCAAGAAGTTAATGGAGATGCAGAAGCCTTCGATTTTTTTTGCTGTAAGTTGTTTCAGAATTTTCGGCAGCGTTTGGAAAGACAACTTTGCTTCAGTTCCTGGTTAAAATAAAGTTGCGCACCTAATATAAGTTCGATGCCAGTTGGTCTTTGCCTCAAAAGCAGCACCCTGATCAGCTTATCAGCTGTGGGTTGGTTGGCATCTACGATATCACTGAAAAACATTCTGGTATTGCTTTGAAAATAAAAGGTTTGAGTTTTTCCTGCTACAAGGGCGTGGAAATAGTAAATGTAAGTAATTTCAGACAACTTCTTGCGTTTGGAGTCAAATTTACAGCTCTTTTTCAACCGGCTGAGACAAGAAAAAATTTTGTCACAAGTACAATCTAAATATTAGCGGCTGCTTTTCAAGGGTCCCCTTATTTTCGAAATTTCATTTGGAGCAAAATAACAATGGCCAACAATAAGTAAAGTTCGTTCATCTCTAACTTTAATTTTGATTAAATTCGCTGCATCTAAATTTTTCAACTCTAGTTGCCAAAAAATCCGATTTAATACCAAGTTCACTCCCCTAAAATGCTTTAGCGATTTTTTACTTGCTTTTTCATTTTCTTTTTCTGAAAAATTTAACATGATTTTGTTTAAAAACATTTTGTTTGTTAATGTCAGTGTTGAAGTAGTTTTTGTTAAAACTCATAATCAAACAGGGGAAATGTGGAAGCTATTTGATATTGCTTATTTAATTATTTGGAATGCGTTTTCTTACTGTTTTTGAAAAAAAAATGCCTTTTTTTCAGCAAAATGTTCTGTCTTAAAAATTTAGTACTAGTTCAACTTGCTGTAGTTGAACAATTAGCTCGAAAAACGTGGATCAGTTAGGTAAATTGGGTGTTTTTTTGTTAGTTTCGCCTTTTTTTAAAGTAAAAATAACCTCAGCTCCTTAGTACTAGCTTCATTTGATTGGGTTTGTTGTCAGAGTGTAGAGATCTTATAATCCTTTTCTTTTTTTAGAAAACTGGGAAAAATTTTATAGACCAAACTGTTTTTTCAAAAAAATTCTGAACTATTTTTTATTTTTTTTTGTAAAAATTGATCCGGATGTTACCAGGTGTCATCCAGTTGGATTTATCTTACGAGATAGATTTTGAACTAACATGAAAGCTATGTTTTGCATGAATATTAACTTTTATGTTGACGGCTTGGAAAGCCTGCGAGCCCACCCGGATTGACCAAAAACACTTATCATACAGTTCTCATAAATGGGAAATTTTTTATCATACAATTCCATACAATTCCATACGTACAGAAAATTGTAAGAAATCTGTATAATAAACTCTTTTCCATAAATGGAAATTTTTTGACTAACCATTTTGTAAGCCGTGCAATCTGTGAACAGAAAAAAAACCTGCGAAAAAAAGTTTTCTAGAAGTTGCAACCTCTGTTTCTTAATTTTCTGCAGGAAATCTTCTCAACTCTTTAGTTAGCTGCAAGGTCCTAATCATAATCCTAAGAGGGAGTACTGGAGAGGAGGTTAAGCCAATACTTACAAAAAAATCGAAATCCTCCAAATTGGTTGAAGGAATTTTCTTTGCCATAACTGATTTGTTAATGTGAGCGAAATTTATCACTTGGTACTTTATATGGCGTGTGGGGTGATGATTCTTACAATAAATCTCAAACATTTGTTTAATAAAAGTTTCCATTTTTTCTTCTTACAATTAATTTCTTTTTACACTATTACTGCTCCATAGACCTTAACAGGCACTCGGAACATTCAGGGCTTTGCCCTAATACGAGCAGTTTTGTATATTTTTAGTGCTGAAATTTGTTAAACAAAAATCGAATTAGGATGTGAAAGCCAAAACAAAGAAGTTTAATGATAAACAACTGGTTGTTCTGATGTTCTAGATCGACTACAGAAACATTTTTTAGAAGGCTATACAACTTATAAGTGGAATAATAACGACTGAAAGTGTGTTAATTTGATATGTCACTCAACTATCTCCGATGACTATTCTGTAGCTGTTTGTCAAAAAATCCATTTTTCGTGTAGAAGTGCATTTTTCTGACACTTGATCTCGTTGGCCTTCACGTTAACTCTAGAAAAATTGTAAAATTTTGAGTAATATTTGTATTTTGGCAATACAAACTTTCAATTGGGTCAATTATTTTACTATTTGGAAAAGTCAAGAACGGTATTTTTATACAAGGGCTTAAAAACATACATTACTGGAAAAAAAATCTTTTTGAAACTGAAAATAAATCTTTTTGAAACTGTGAAAACTTTCATAATTGTTTACTGTCTAGCGGTCTTGCTGTTCTGATATCTCTACTTTAAAAAAAATGGCTCAATGGTGATAAACTCTGCAATGTCAGCCAGTGTCCACTCGTTTGGTGTTGACAAAAACGGCGTGTTCGATGCGCTAATTCAAAATTGTCCAACTGCGCTCAAGGGCACCCAAATTACGTTGCTGCCAAGTACTAAATATAAATCTGTAACATCCCCTCCACTTAGTAAACTTACACAATGAATTAATATCACAGAAAAAAGTTTTCAACCATCGATTTGAGTTTTCGACCATCGATTTGAGTTTTCGACCATCGATTTGAGTTTTCGACCCTCGGCCAACCATCTCCCTTGGCATTTAATTGTTGAGTTTTTCTCCTCCAGATCGGCGTTCACCTTCCATCCTCAGTTTTTGCCCCGTACTCCGTCCGCCCTCTTTTTCTCTCGAATAATTTGTCTATCATTATCCCTCCGAATCCGAACTTGTGTTCCGCAGTATCTTTATGCGAACTCTTGCGTGATGCCTTTTTTCCGAAACCTGTCAGTATTGCCTTGAGTAAGAGATCAAACGTAGTTTCCGCGGACGTCTCGCCTTATTATTTCTACTCGCTGGGCTCGTCTCTGCCGGTTCTTTCAAACCCCGCTTTTCCTCCGGTTCACTTGCAGTCTTCTCCGCCGGTACCGTTCTAATGAAGCCCTCGCCGCAGGTATGATGGTTGTGTTGTTTCGCCGATCCGAAGACTTGTTTGATTTTCCCGACGTCATTTCCTCTAATTCGTCCCCCCTTGCAGAGGTTTTCGCCTTGCTCGCTGTTCCCTTATGTTCACGATCCCCCTAACTTGCTCGTGCCTCGCCCAACATGTCCTCTCTCCTTCGTCCCACATGTCAATAACGTCGGTTCGAAATCCGACCCCGAATTAGAGTCATTGTCCCAGTTCGCCATTTGACCGCATTCCAGTTCGGCTTCTCGTTGACGGCTTCACCCCTTCTGGCTTTTCGCGAAGTTCGTTTTCGTTTTTACGCCGCGGTCCTGCCAGTGTTTGCGGTTCTGGAACATTTGCTGGTAGTTTCTTTTTGGGAGTACCGATTCGCTTATCTATCACGCCGCTTTTGCTAAGTACAGAACTATTATCAAGTGTAAAAGTTTGTTTAGATTATTTTTGATCTTTTCATTCTTAAATCTATACCTCTTGTTTTTATTGTCAGTCCTCCGGAACAACAGTGCCGTCCTTCTGCTTGGCATTTCAGTTGAGCTTTTGGTATAAACCAGTTAGCAGTCGGCGCCCATTTCACTCCATTTTGGTTCACTAGCTGCACTTGTGTGAGCTTCTGCGTGTCGTTTAAGTGTTCCGTATTCCTCTTCGGACTGTTCAATCCAGTTGGTCCCAGCAGGTATTTGACTCAATACTTTGTCTCAATTAAAGTCTTTTTAGTGACGATTTTTTCGTCAGTTTCTTTAGCACTGTGATATTCCCGACTGTGATGAGCTTTGAATGGCGAAAATATTTGAGTGGCGTTAGAAGTATAACTAAGGGCGCTAGGAGCGTGTTCCAGTTAATTTTTGAAATAACGTGACCCTCCTTCTTTGCGTACAAAATAAAAAAAATTTCAAGCTACCGATTTGTGGCTCTGTGAACATTTACCGATGAGTATAATTTTCGATTCCTTCAGTGTTGGTAAATGCCTTAACAGCCTTTGACTTTAAGCTATCCTGTGGTCCATATTAAGTTTCTATGGTAGCCCATGACTTATTGTGTATTATTCGATGAAATTTAGAGCCTGATCTGATTTATGTTTTTACAGATCATAGCCGAGGGCCAGCGCGAGATTCTATCCACAGCTTTTTGAACTTATTTTTCCGATTCTTTCAAGTATTAAATCGAGCCCCAAAATTCAGTCAAGATGTAGGCTTTCGTTAGGTTCTCTTGATTCATTAGGCTCCTTTGGGTTCTCGTGTCTCCCTTGTAGTTAGCTTCTATCAAATTATACTCTATTTGTTTAGATTCTATTTGATCTTTTCATTCTTAATTCTATACCTCTTTTTTTTATCGTCAGTCCTCCGGAACAACAACGCCGTCCTTCTGCTTGGCCTTTTAGTTGAGCTTTCGGTATAAGCCAGTTAGCAGTGGGCGCACATTTCACTCCATTTTGGTTCACTAGTTGCACTTGTGTGAGCTTCTGCGTGTCGTTAAAGTGTTCCATATTCCTCTTCGGACTGTTCAATCCAGTTGGTCCCAGCAGGTATTTGACTCAATACTTTGTCTCAATTAAAGTTTTTGTAGTGACAATTTTTTCGTCAGTTTCCTTAGCACTGTGTTAGCCTCCCGACTGTGATGAGCTTTGAATGGCAAAATTATTTGAGTGGCGTTAGAAGTATAACTAAGGGCTTTAAGTGCGCGTTCCAATTAGTTTTTGAAATAACGTGACCCTCCTTCTTTGCGTACAAAATATAAAATTTTTCAAGCTACCGATTTGTGGCTCTGTGAACATTTACCGATGAGTATAATTTTCGATTCCTTCAGTGTTGGTAAATGCCTTAACAGCCTTTGACTTTAAGCTATCCTGTGGTCCATATTAAGTTTCTATGGTAGCCCATGACTTATTGTGTATTATTCGATGAAATTTAGAGCCTGATCTGATTTATGTTTTTACAGATCATAGCCGAGGGCCAGCGCGAGATTCTATCCACAGCTTTTTGAACTTATTTTTCCGATTCTTTCAAGTATTAAATCGAGCCCCAAAATTCAGTCAAGATGTAGGCTTTCGTTAGGTTCTCTTGATTCATTAGGCTCCTTTGGGTTCTCGTGTCTCCCTTGCAGTTAGCTTCTATCAAATTATACTTGAAAAACTCAGGCAGGCATTCGGCTTTCTTGACAACCTTGCACTCACGCAGAATGACGCACCGTACCAAATTGTTAGGTTACGACGACGCAATTGAGATCACAGAATGGTATACACGTCATTGTTTCCGGATGTTAGCGCCTCTAATTTTGCGTCCACAACTCCTGTCTCCGAGTTGCTCCCGCTTGTGATATCTGGATATCGAGAGATTTTTGTTAAGTTTCTTAGAATCAAAAAATTCTCACGAAAGTTGTTTGAAGAAAACGGAAAAAATATTATTTGACGTGACGCACTTAATTCTCAAACTGTAATTGCTGCAGCTACTATCGTGTTTTTCCGGTCATTGCACCCTAATATTCAAAAAACTGCGCTTTGTTATTGTTTGAATTTTTAGCGCAAAGTTTGCAGCCCTCATCGGGGTCTTTTAGTCTTTTAGTCTTTTAGTTCAACAAACATCCTTTTGGCTGAAACATCCTTTCTATTGGTTAGGGTAGTATTAAAATTTAAAACCGGAATTTTTGCGATTGAAGTAACCGAGAGCCTTGTGGATAGATTCAATTTTTGCAACAGTAACACTACCCGGGTCGAGATCCCGCTCAAAAACCGCTCAAGATTTGAGCGGTTTGAGCGGTTTTCCAGCAAGATTTGAGCGGTTTGAGCGGTTTTCCCAGCAAGATTTGAGCGGTTTGGGCGGTTTTTTTGGAAAAACCGCTCAAACCGCTCAAATCTTGCTTAAAAAACCGCTCAAAAACCGCTCATTTCTTGCGGTGATTTTTGAACGGTTTTTCAAGCAAGATTTGAGCGGTTTTTGAGCGGTTTTTGAGCGGTCTTCCCGGGTCGAGGTCCCAAACTCATGTCCATATTTTCGCGACAAATCTTTGGCATTTCCAGACTTTCCAGACCAAAATTAGGCATGTCTAGGCTTTGGCGACCAAAACATGGCATTTCCAGACTTTTGCGACCATGATGATCCGTTGCGACTATCGCGCCGAAGCAGAGGTCTAATGTAACTTTTTTTATGCATTATTGCTTTTAGCCTGGCATCAAGTTGCTGTAGTTCTAGAAAAAATTATGTCGCGCTGTGCTAGAGTGGGCTGCATGCGATTGCTCGCCTATCAAGTCTTTCTTTTTTTTCAGTCCGCTGAAAATTTTTAAAAATTTTGGAACGTTAAAAAAATTGCTCGACGGTTTTGTTAGAGAATCTTCCATGCCCGCTGTCTTCTCGAGAAGGGATACCAATTTGAGAGTGTTCGCCTCTTTCGAAGCAAGATTTGAGCGGTTTTTTAGACGATTGCGCTCAAAATCGTGCTTCAAAATGAGCGGTTTGAGCGGTTTTTGAACGGTTTATCTATAAAAACCGCTCAAAAACCGCGCAAAATTTTAGCGGTTTGAGCGGTTTTTTTAGACAATTACGCTCAAAATCTTGCTTCGAAATGAGCGGTTTGAGCGGTTTTTGAACGGTTTATC